AGGGCGGCCATCGCGACCTCTGATGTTCATATTGTCAAAAATAATGGAACAAGCATCCAAGGACGGGACGAGACACAGAGCGAGTGGGAGCAGGTTGGGACTTCTCAGCTACGGGGTCCCCTGCCACGAACGGTGGCTGCTGCCGGAGCTGCGGAACATCTTGCAGGAGCAACGCGCAGCCCGGGCACCACCAGCCGAGACCGACCCCATGAAAGGGATCTCCAAGCTGAGCCTTTCCGAGCTGATCTCGCGATGCCAGGAGAACCAGCTCACCTTGCCTTCGAAGCCCACCCGGGGAGCCTTGATTGCACTTCTTCGTACCTCGACCCAGGCCCCGGGGGAGAGACTGTTGCCGCGCCCTAAACCCCTCAACCCCAAATATCCCTAAACATAAAACCCCTAAACTTTAAACCCCTAAACCCTGAACCCTAAACCCGTAGACCCCTAAACCCCTAAACCGTAAACCCCTAAACCCCAGACCCCAGTGGAAGGTCGAGTGGGGTCTGAAGCACAACTTGCATCGGGCCAAAGTTGTACATTTCATAATGGCTTGGGCGGTGAGGGGACGCTGCCGTGTTCAGTGTGAAGGTGAGAACAGGTCCGAACACACATAGACACCCAACTGAACCTAGCCCAAACCCTAAACCCTTACCTGTGGATCCAGTAGCCGAGTGTTTTCACGGTTTAATCCGGCAATTCTGGGTCATAGCCTACTATGTTGTGAATTCGGGGCCATGGGTATTCCGTCAACCGGCCGTAGAGCTTGCTGAAGGGTTTGGGGCTTGGCTTCCTTGGATGACTGCGCCTATTCCTGTTTCTGATAGAAGTAAGAGCTGCGAATGAGCGGTCGTCGCATTTCACGGCATTTCACGTGTCGTTATTTTATACGGAGCAAACAAAGCGATTCTGTCCTGTGCAAAGAGACCCAGACCCGAGGAATGATTCAGGAACCAATCTTCTGTCTAGTGCTGAGTAGGGAATGGGGGAATGGATCCCTATGATAGTCCCTTAAGGTCCCTTATAGTAGTCCCTATAACCCATTCCCCCTTTCCCTACTAAGCACCAGACAGTCTTGCAGTGACAACGCGAAGAGCAGGGACTTCCCTTCAATGGAAGCTAACAAGTCCGGCAGACGATATGGATAGTTCTCTAACTGGGGCCCTTTTGTAGGTCCACCAAAATAGGACGGCACCCCGATAGAAAGGACACTAAAAGTGACGCTAGTTTATAGAACTACCATTATGAGGACCCCCTACATGCCCGTCAAAACCATCAACCTAAGCCTCTGCAAGGATCGAACCGTTAGGATTTGGACCTGGACCTGTAAAGAGAACCTAATTACTTTTTCGGGGGTCCAGGAAGACCTTGAACCTAACAGTACCATGATACTTCTTATCCCTTCCAAAGCGTCATCATCCGAACATCCTCCTTGGACAGCGCTTTTTTGCACCAGCGGTAAACCGAGTTCTGCGCACTCCTTCTGGGACCCAGAGAGAACAGTACGCCTACTCCTACTGCTCCTCCTCCTTCGGCTGCTGCTGCTACAACTCCTACTACTC